GCCGCAGCCGCTCCAGCACCTGAAAAACAAAGGGAACAGACTCCAGGTGCTTTCTCAGAGTCACACGTCTTTAATGAGAAGCACGCCCCTGCATCAGCTCTACTCCTTCTGTGCACAAGGATGGCGAATGTGAGGGACACGGTGCACAGAGAATGGTTGCTTAAACCAAGGTGACTTCACACCCTGTCGTCCTCCTCGGCCCCAACAGCGTTTGCACCCGTAGCTCGGGGAGCCCTCCCAATAACTCTTGGATGTCAGTGCTGTTCTAGCCTCCGGTTGCCATATGCATGAATCGCGATCCAGAGAGACTGGCTAATTTGCCCGTGTCCCAGGGCCAAAGGGTAGAAGAGTGAGACACCGTTTCAGAATCTATTCATAAGTTCCCACATCTCCACTCCAATACCACTTCCTTTGGGGATAATGACTGGCTTCTGGAATGTTCCCAGTCTTCTGAATTAGCCTGTCCTGAGTTGACACCAAGGGTAGGAAGTTCATCGCCAATTCTGTCTCATTTGTCTTCCCTCTCCCTACTCTCTTTTCTTCTCTCCGTGCTGACTGACCCCTCAGTATGGAGACACCGGGGCTCTGTCCGCAGCACTTTGCTCAGCCAGCAATGCCCAGGACCTGCTTGATTTGTGAGTGATCATGCAGTTCCCAGGGTGGTGCCTTTGTAACCAGGGCTGCCTGCTTCTGTCATACAGAAGGGGGAGCTTCCAGAGGCAAGGCAGCCCTCCTGGCTCTTCCCAGGCAGCCATTAGTACAGTGTGCTCTTTCCCCATATGTATGCAGCCTTTACCTAGGTAACAAGGTCTAGCCCAAGCTTATCCTTATGCCACCTTCTTCTTCTTCTTCTTCTTCTTCTTCTTCTTCTTCTTCTTCTTCTTCTTCTTCTTCTTCTTCTTCTTCTTCTTCTTCTTCTTCTTCTTCTTCTTCTTCTTCTTCTCCTNTCCTCCTCCTCCTTCTTCTTCTTCTTCTTCTCCTTCTTCTCCTTCTCCTCCTCCTCCTCTTCTTCTTTTCCTCCTCCTTCTTCTTCTCCTCCTCCTCCTTCTCCTTCTCCTCCTTCTTCTCCTTCTTCTCCTCCTCCTTCTTTGAACTCAGGCTATCAGACTTGGCCACAAGCACCTTCACCTGCCCAAGTTTGAAAGTAGGATGCTAAAGAGTTATGAGGACCTACTGGGTCAGTGAGGGAAGCTGAAGTCAGCTTGGGACTTGGGACCCACCATACACTTGGTCTCTTAGGCAATGCCTTTGCTTTCAGAGTCCCATGGTGCAATGGGGCTGTTTATTTCCCAGGAGAACCTCACTCACTCAGTGTAGGCTGGAGGCGCGGCTCTAACATTCATCTTCCGGAAACCACATAGAAGGGGCCTGAGGTGTATGTCAGTGGTAAGATTTCACATCCAATCGTCACTTATCAAGGGATGCTCATGAGCTTCAGTATGGAACACTGCCCTCTGCCTGTGCTAGTCAACCCCTAGTGGGGGCTGTCCCTACCCCATTCCTAAGTGTTATGTTCAATGTCCTGGAAGTTGGGAGAAATGGGTGCCCCTCAGTGGTGTGGAGTGGTCAGAAGATCTGAGACTCAAATTCCTTTTCAGAGCACTCCCTCAAAATACCTGCTCCACCTCTTTTCTGTCTACCACCTAATCTCAAAGGTCCTATATGATGAGCTGGGGAGCCTGTGGGGAATCCTGCAGAGGGGGTTCCCTGATTCCTTTGGCCTTGGCCCGTTTTCACCAGTTTCACAGCCTCCACTCTCCTTGTTCTCTTCTTTCCTTTGTTCCCCATCTCTTAGGTATAGCTCTGGCTTGATTATGGAAGAATAAATACCAAGTGCATTTGCTCTCATCAGTTTTAATTCCTTTATTTATCCCGTGTTCTCACACAGCTCAGGAAGGCAGCTGCTAACTCTATTTGCAGCTCACTAGCGTGGAAACTGTCAATAACTTATTTATTTGTCTTTGGATCTTGCCTTTTTCTCATCTGTAAAATTGGAATATTTCTTGTCCTGCCTGCCTTCTGACCGAGTATAGCAGCTTGCCTGAGCTATCACATAGATAACCCAGTTAACTTTCCAAGGAGAAAAGAGCCGTTTTTTCATGCGGAGGTTGGACAAAGTCAGACTCAAGGGTGTTGTGAAAATCTTCCCTGGGTCAATGAAAACACGGTCAGGATCTCTGCCTTTCATCCTGTTTCCACATCAACAACTTAGAACAACCCTTTACCTCAGTCAACAAGACCCCGTGGGAGACACAGAAGTTTACCTGAGCTGAGCGAAAGAAGGCAACCACCCCTCCCTCACTGGGACCTAGATGGCCAGGGCCTGCTGAAAACCTTTGGAAGAGCATTAGTTTTTCCGTGTCCCTGCTTTTCTTCCCCCTCCAATTTTCTTCTAAGTAAAACACTTTGTTTTCATCCTTCAATAAATGTCACCTCCTATTTTTCTGGTTGGCATTCTCTTTAGATTTCCTGCCTCAGCAACCCACGGGTCCATCTCTGGCCAGTGTGGACTCACTTGATGTGACCCACCTTCTCACTCAGTTCCTTAGGCAGAATCTTTGCTCTCAAGGGGGCTATAGAGCCAGGGGCCAATATAGGACTTCCAGGCTTTAACGTTGAGTGAGAATTTGGCCTCCAGAGGAAAGAATAAGTAAACTTACTGGGATCACAGTGAAAAGGATCCAGAAGCCTTCATGGGACGTAGAGGGGAAGAGCCCAGGAAAGGGTGCTGACTTGAAGTACCTTCTGTTTAAGTTACTAAACTTCCCAGTGAGAGAGCTGGACTCTTTCCCTTCCTTCCCATTTGCCTTTCAAGAAAGCAGCGGGTAAAGAATCAATTTGCATGGCCTCAGATATCCACTCAAGAAGTCTCCCCACGGACAAGGCAGCTCAGGCCCTTGTGGTGAGGAAAGCAGGGATCCCAGTCAGGGCTGGTGGCAGTGAGTGTGACTGCGGTCATGGACATAAAAGGACAAACAATGCACCGCCCAGAAGAACTGACCCATAGGAACTGGGACTGGCCCATGGGCAGGAGTATTCCTCTTTTTTTAGCCCTGGCTGGCTGTGCAGGAGGCGTGGCTCATGTGTTAGTATTATTATCGAATGACTCTTCCACCATAGCTCCGCTTGACTCATTTGGCAGTCTGAGCAATCTGCTCAGTGTTCTGTGATAATGAGGCTTCCTTGGCAACTCACAGAAGTGAATTCAGAGTGTTATTCCCACCTGGCTGGGGGAGGCCTTCTAGGTGCTCGGGACACAAAGGAGAACCAGGCAGGGCCAGGGCTTGGTGGGGGTAGGGAGTCTGCTCTGCAGCCCCTTTCAGGATCTCTGCCTCTGGGGCTGGGGAACTGTCCAGCTGCTGCAGGATCCTCCTTCCCAGATGGGAGGGCCAGCCATTGTTTCCCTCTGTGTTTGTGCCTCCCACTCTTCTACCAGATTGTGTTGGTTGGGGCTGACAATGTCTGATTTTCCTTGTCAGAACAAAGAGACTAGATCCTTCAGTAGAGGGATCTTGACTCAAACTGTGCTCTGTTATGGGCAGAGGTCCTTTCCTCCCGCCATGCACGACTCTGGATGGGTCGGAGTGGACAGAATATAAGAGAGGGAAAGGATGGAGGGGTGGTCTCCTGATGAGTTCACAGATCCCCAGGCCGACAGAAGCTCTGTTGCGTTTGTTCCTCTGGAACGAGAAGAGATAGTTGGGGCAGCCGTGCATGTGATGTACTTTGATTTCAAGCCAGCACCTTTTCCATCACCCTGACATTTTTGCCCTCCCTCTGAGAGGGTAAAATGTCTCTGAGATCCTCTAGGATGGTCTGTGGTGTTACAGAGGAGTCAGAGGAGTCAGAGCCTGGGGCAGAGGCCAAACAACATGGATTTTGCCCTGTTAGCAGGCTGGGGGCTCGTGTCACTGGCTTAAATGTGGGCAGGCATGAGAGAGTGCAGGCAGTCTCAGGAAGGAAGGACCAACATACTGGGGAGGGTGAGGTGCTCCCCAGAAGGAAGTAAAAGCCAGCCTGGCAAAAAGAGGGGAAGAGCAGGAAACCATTTGGGGAACACGTCCAGGTCAGAGCCATGCATGTAGAGGGAGGGTGCATGAGTAGCTCTGGGGACATCTGATCACAGGAGGGAAAAAGCTGAGTTGGACAAGATGCTAAGTAGCCAGCGGAGACATGGACCGGCTCTGCCGTCTCCCTTCTGCTGTAAACAGCATTTCCCCAGCAACCTCCTTCCTCACCAACTCGTTCTTGGCTTTGACAGGTAGCGGAGGTATAGAGCAGACACGGCCCTTACCCGGAAGCAGGGGCTGACTCGAGAGTGGACGGATACAGGCAAATGCAAAGAAAAGGCTGCACCAGGGCTCAGACTCAGGAAGGAAGAGGAGGCTTTTCCTCTTTTTCCCAAAGTTTCATGCAAAAACTAGGTCCTAAGAGCCAGCTTGGGATCTGGCTGAGGCCCAGCCTCTCCCCCACCTGCCCCATTAGATTTTCACATGGGACTTGCCCTACAGTGCAGCAGACCCTGGGTTAAAGGACGGTGGGTCTGGTAGAGGCAGCCTGCCTGCAGAGACCCCGCTCTGCTCCAGGAGCCCACCTCCCGCTCTCACTCTTCTGATGCAGTTGTGACTAATGCAGCCACAACATCTGGACTTGCACCCTTTCTTCCACTTACGGTTTTCCTTTTAGCAGTTGGCTGCATTCTCCACACAGGACTACAGACAGCACCTGCATCTTAGGGGTGAGCTAAACCCACAGGAAGGGCAGCACTTGCCTGGCACAGATCAACTGAGCCAACAGCCACCAGGGATCGTGTGCTTGTCTTGTGCTTAGCAACCCAGCTTCATGGCATGTTACACAGAAGACAGTCACCATCAGCGACTTTCCTGTAGAGGAGTCTGAGTAGAAAATGTCGGCGCCCGCGTCTCCTTGCTCCAGGATACACCTGACCCTATCCTGTCACAGCTCCGAAGACTAACTTCTTCCCTTCTGCTTCCTCCCAGACCTGCGCAGGATGACAGCTGGCTTCATGGGCATGGCGGTGGCCATCATCCTCTTCGGCTGGATCATCGGTGTGCTGGGCTGCTGCTGGGACCGAGGCCTTATGCAGTATGTGGCAGGGCTTCTCTTCCTCATGGGAGGTAAGGCTGAAAGCCACTGGTGGGGCGGGGGAGGCTGGGAAGGTCCAGCGGGGAAGCGGTAAGAGGATAGAGCAGCGGAGCGTGGCCAGTAGGGTTCATTCCGCTCCCTCATCTCTTGGTTCATCAACAGCCTGTTCCCGTCACTTACTGACCACTATAGCGGCTGTTAGGGATGTGAAAGGAAATGAGATACAGTCCTCAGTGTCTAGAGCCTTGGGGATCTCCGTGCTTAGATGGAAAGGATACCGGGGCTATGACACCTACATGCCAGCAGTTGGAGACCTCAGACTTAGAAGCATAAAACCAGGTTATGTTGGGCCTTTTACACTTCATGTCCTGTATTGTAGTGTTAAACCAAGGAAGGAAGTGTTTTTTTCTCCAAAGGCCTGTGCTCATCCTTGACTTATGGTTTAAAACAAGGCAGCAGTCAGACAAGACTAGCTCCTCCCATTCCTGCTCCCTTTCCTTACCCTGAGTCAGCCCCGTGGCATATAGCAGACTGTACGTAGAGAGAACTGTGTAGTTATGAGGGACTCGGCTCTGGTCCATATAGCAGACTGTATGTGGAGAGAACTGTGTAGTTATGAGGGACTCGGCTCTGGTCCATATAGCAGACTGTACGTGGAGAGAACTGTGTAGTTATGAGGGACTCGGCTCTGGTCCAAGCAAAGGAAAAGCTTTCTCACCATCTACTCGGGCATCTTCCTTTCCTTTGAAGTCTCCTGGTTTGGGGCCTCGGCCTAGAGCTCACATTTTGAACTGCCTGGGACAGGTGGATGGGTGAATTCTGTGGAATGAGTATGGACAGACAGAACTGACACGCTTGTGGGACGAAGAGAAAATGAGTCCCGTAGGAGGAAGCAGACATCAGTCCGACTTCAGGCATTGCACAGATGCTTGACTCCAGTCTCTTTCGTGCTGACCCGAGGAGAGGAGGATGAGTGGGCTGTGGGACTCTATCTGCAGGTCAAGCTGAGGGATGGAGAAGCTTGTCCCTCGCTGTGTACAGAGAGGCATCTGGGATGCAGAAAGCTCTGGTTTAGGGGATTGAGGGAGGGCTATGCGGGAAGGACTTGGGCCCTGAAGTTTTGCTCTGTTCCTTGAAGCACAGCCTTTCTGTGCCAAACACGATACAGGCTTTCCATGGAGCTGGTACTTAGGTGACTCACTTGTCATCAGAGTCAGGACGTTCCCATGTCAGAGCTGCCACCCCTGGGGCCCACACCTGTGGTTTAGGCAGAGGCTGGGAGAGTGAGAGGGCATGGTGGCTCTGTGATGGAGATTCTATATAGAGAAGCCACCATCCCCCAGCATACACTTATGTTCTGTGGGCTCCCCCTTTCTTCAGTGAAACGGGACCCAAATTCGCTGATGTTTCTCACACCGTATTTTACCAGTACAGCCCCTTGGTTTCCCCTTTGTAATCTGCCTTTTATGTGCTCCTCCAAAATATAAAATAAGATAAAAAGTGAAGCATCTGTACCCTGTTTGTAGAGAGGCAGTGTCCTGTTTTTAGTGAGGCTGTGTCCTGCCTGTAGTGAGGCCATATCCTGTCTGTAGTGAGGCTGTGCCCTGTCTGTAGTGAGGCTGTGCCCTGTCTGTAGTGAGGCTGTATCCTGTCTGTAGTGAGGCAGTGTCCTGTTTGTAGTGAGGCCATATCCTGTCTGTAGTGAGGCCATATCCTGTTTGTAGTGAGCCTGTCTGAAGTAAGATTGTATCCTATTCACAGTGAGGCCATACCCTGTTTGCTCTTTGGAGGCACAAAACAGACCCTGATGAGGGGCTTTCCTGAGGCTGGAGAGAGGTCTCCTGGGTATTCCAGAGAAGCTGAACAAACAGGTCTCAGACTAAGCACCCAGACAGGAGTCTTTCTGCTCTACTTCTTGCTTTCATTTGCTAAGGCTGGGTGCCTTCTTCAGTGGCCCTTCTCTTCGGGCGAGAACAAGGCTTAGAACCTGGGACCTTTCAACCCTGAGAGCTTTCCAAAGGACTTCAGTTAACATGTAGACTAACAGCCAGAATGCCATTGGCTAGCTTATCTTTCCTAGACAGGCCACAGGAGTAGAATTGAGTGATAATGGCTAAGCCGAAAGCTGTGCCTGCAGGGAGGGCACTGGGTTACCTCTCACTGGAGACCTCAGGACAAAAGGCAAGAGGACAAAAGCGATGGTCTGGAGGGTGCCTACAGCACTGCCCTCCTACTGCTGGGACACTTCCAGGATAGGTGAAAAGCCGCAAACTCCATTCTGAAGACTGAATGAGTGGGGCCTTGCTTTCTTCACCCCGGCAGTCCTTACCCATTATGAGTCAGAACTTCCTGGAAACCTTTGATTAAATGTTAATGCACACCAATCAAGACCAACCCCACAGAGCTCCTATGCAAATAGAGCCAAGAATCAGTGATACAGACAAACTTGGAAGTCCTTCCAGCTTCCACCTTGTATGGTACCTGGGAACACACACACACACACACACACACATCCATGCACACCTAGGTCTTTATAACTGCTTGTCTAAGTTATACAACAAGAGATAAGACGGTGCCCACAGGCCTCAGTAGCTGGGAGGCCTACCCAATCCCTGACTCCTGGGAGTCACACATATCTGCCTTTCTTGGATACGTGATATGTATGTATCTTTATAATGGCAAATCCATACTTGTGATGAAGTACTGGCGTGACAGCCAGCTTTGCAGCAGCTGTGCTTCCCACAGCCACTTCCTGCTGATCAGAGTACAGTCCAGGCTACACAGAGCCTAATTTATCCTCAGGTCACAAAGCCTTCTCTTCCCCCTAGAGGTATTTTTAAAAAGTCTTTGTCCCTAGGTAAAGCAACATGCTACTAAATGAAGCTGGGGTGGGAAGGGAAGTGGTATCCATACACTTTTTGGTACTATCAGGCCCTGAACTAACAAGAGAGTTAATAACAAAGCTGTTGACTTCTCATCCCTTGAATGGTGGTGTTTTCTTTTGTGGAAGTTCTGCCATATCCTTCCTTCTCCAGCTAGCGTCCTCTGCAACTGGGAAAGACTCGGCTCTGGGCAGTCAGGAGCCCAAGGCTCTGACTCATGTAAATAAGTCATGTTCAAATGGTCTTGTTAAAAACACATGTGTTGGGAGGATATGATTCAAGATCAGAGAGTGAATGCCTGGCCTGGCCCTGCTCAGTTATCATAACTAAACTGAGGGACCAGATATGAACCCAGAAGAAATATCTGGACCTATAGAACCCTACATGTCAGAGACATTATAAGATAAGCCTGTCCCAGAACCTGAAAAGTCTGTTCTCCGGGGGTCAATTCCCTAAGCATGACCTGCCAAAGAACCTAGGGAATAAGCCACCTGTTCTGGTCACCTCCAAGACACAACAGCACTGTCAGTCATTGAAACTGCTCAGATGGTTCCCAAATGTGACCTTGTAGCCCTCTCTTGGGTATCTGTAGCTGCACTGAGCCAGGTCCCAGGTGGTTGTATTGGGCTGGAAGCTAAGCAGGTTGTAACCAAAAGCAGTGGTATCTGGGACTGACGAGATGTGAGTAGGTAAATAGGTAGAAAGGGAAGATTCAGCAAGAAAGAAAAGAACATCTTTGGGCTGAGGAGATGGCTTAGTCTGTAAAGTGTTTGCTTTGCAAGCATGGGGGCCGGAAGTCAGTCCTCAGAGCCCATGTAAACAGACTAGGTGTGATGGTAAAAACTTGATATACCAGTCCCCGGAGACAGAGACAAGTGACTCCCTGGGGTTCACCTGCCAGGAAGCCTAGTCTGACTGTGAAGTTCCAGGCCATTGAGAGACCTGTCTCAAAACACAACATAGACAGCTCCTGACAAATGACACATGCACACATACGTACATACACCTATACACTCACACATACATGCATGTATACAACACACATGTGCACACATACATACTTGTACCCACATGCAAATATTTTCAAGTGGAGAAGTATATTTGGAATCAAGATTCCAATGATTGAGTTCCTGGAAACTGGTAACTCTAAGTGAAGCAATTCATCAAACATGCTAGGCATGTTCTACATTTTAATTTTTAAAAATTTTTGCACTCTTTCACTTCTTGCCTAGATATGTGTTTTTATGAGTTATAAATATATAGTATATGCATTTATATTGTATATAAGTATGCAGCCATATTATATATACATATATTATGTATTATGTATTATATATTTAGCAGGACCAAAATAAAGGCTAAAGAATTGTCTTCACATCCTCTCCCCTAGTCCAATAGGAAGATGGCCTTCATTGAGTACTTCTCTGGCCTATATCTGACTGTTTCAGAGATAAAGAGAGGGTGCCTCACACACTGTACCGTAACCACCCACAAACTGTTAAACGGGTGTTCAAGCCAGAGGAAACTATTAATTAAGCAGGGTAGCACTATTTGGCCCAGGAGGCTGGGGGTGGTGGGTAGGATCCAGCTTTCCTTTGGCAGCACCTCCACAGAAGATGTAGCCCAGACAGGCACAGCCCCACATGGGTGCAAGCGACCATTGGAATGAATCATAGGGGTATTCAGAGGCTCGGCAGCAGGATAACACAGAGACAGACTGTGTGGCACAGGGGCATATGACCACTCCGCTCACATGTGACCCTTCCCTGGAAGCTTCTTAGGTGCACAGGTTTACAAAATGAGTTGGAATCTCTAATCCATGCTCATAGCATCAAGAACCTTCCCACCGTCCTCTGGTAATTGCTGGATTGAATTGCCTTCCTTCCTCTCTACCCGCAGCCAGGGCTAAGGCTCCACTATCTTTTGTCTAAACAACACTTAAGTCCCTTACTGGCCACCTGGCTCCACTATGGCTATGCCTTGGTCAATTCTGAACAGATCAGTTAGCATGAATCTTTTATTCTTTTAAATTTTCATTACTGTGTGTGTGTGTGCACACACGTGCACACACATGTGTGCATGCATTCTGGCATATATGTAGAGACTAAAGGCTAAACCTGGGGAGTGGGTTCTTGCCACTGCATAGATCC